TGCTACAAAAGAAAAAAAAGGTTAAACAGAATATCAGAAAATACACAAGTCTAGATGCTCAACCACAACTGATGGCAATGTAGCAAAATAAAGGGCTATGCAGTATTTAAAGTTGCGATGTAACAGAAGCAGGGACAATTTTTTTTCTTCCGTATTGTGACGTAAATTTGAGTGAAATGGACTTCTGAAAAAAGTAGGGTGGACACTTGGTTCTACCCATCAGTTAAACAATAGGTTTAAATGCAGTAAATAACTGGAGAAGTTTGTAATTTCATCGAAAAACTAACTTACGATTTTAATAAATTGAGATTTAAAAAAAAAAAAGTGAATTTTCATTTTATGCTGACTTCGCATGCATACTAAAAATGACCAAAATCACTGGAGGTCACCAAATCACTGTGCATCACTAACAAAATCAGCAACTCTCACTGAAAACTAATGATATTTGTTCAACTCTATGCTGATAATCAGCAACAATGCAGCGACTAGCAATGTGAGTGCAGACAGCACTGCCAGATAGAATTTGATACAGCGACTTGCCATCCTTCAAAGATTTTGAACAGGACTTAAGACCAATAGGTGCACTTATTGATACAAAATTGTCATGTACTAATGTAGATTTATATTATATATTAGATTTATATTCACAAACAGAATATGGTCCCAGGAGGAACAACAGACGGCTGTTGTACAAAACAAGAGTTGCATTTTAAGGCTGCACCCTGATACCTTGTGTAAAACAGTAAAACAAAGCAGGCCTGTTAAGCCACTCTTTCTGCCAATCAACGGTATCAGTCTTTTTCACACTTTTCTTGGAAACATATCTTGAATTCTTCAGTTTAGGTCAATTTAGGTGACAATGCAGTACAACCAGTGCATATTTATAGAAATGCAAAACTTACTCTATTTCAGTGACGTAACTGGATCCCAGAGGATACAGATCAGTGTCTAAACGGCTGCAGAAGAAAAAAGAAAAAAAAAGGATTTTTTTTCATAATATTTTAAACCTGTACGTTTTTCTAACTGCCACTGAATACAAAAGGAGATGTTAGGCTCAATGGCAGGTCTATTTCTATTTTAATAAAGAAATGCATTCATAAAGGTTTGAAACATGGTGAGTAACATGACAATTGACATTTTAGGCAAAATATCCCCTGTGAATATAACGTAACGTTACCTTTTATAATCAGCACAAGCATGTACATGCTTATAATTCTAAATTTTTTTCTGATTATACTTACCTACTTGCACGTAAATAAAACGTTACTATTCAAAAGTTTTATTTATTTCAAAACCTTTTAAAAATATTATTTCTGAACCACGGGTGACATCTTCTCCGCGTCATTATGTAAAACAGTTACTGTAATCGGACTTTCGTACGTTTCTCAAACGTACTTAACGTTAGTAATGATTGAAAGTATTTAACATGCATCGACAATACAAACGAGTAAAACTAGAATAAAGTTGAACTGGCGTCGGTTTAGCAAGCTAGCAGGTAATTAGCTAGCCACCCAACAACAATGCGGAAACGGAGACACGTTGCTTGCGAAATACTGGCAGTTCTATCGCTTCTGCACGTTACAAGCCTCGTTTGATCCTTTTTGCTTGCGAGTGCGGTTTTAAAAAATCCCGTAGCTCTAGTTCGCTTGTGTTTCATGAAGCTGTCTCAACTACACGACTTGCAACAGGTTGCTGGTCAGTTTGGTCCAACTTTTGGTCTCTTCCGGCACGGGAGACATGAAGAGCGGCTGAGACGAGTGAAAAATCACCATTTCCTCTTCAATTTATATAATTTAACCCAGTTTAAACGTGCATAACGTATTAAGTCACAGCTATGTAAAAAATATCCAAAGACAAAAACGTGTTTAAGGGGTATCACACTTGGAATAAGGGTGTTTTCAACTTACCCGTCCATGGCACTACACAAAACTACAGGTTGTCGTAGACGGGAGGTAGACCTGCTAGTATTTCTTATATCCTTACAAAATGGCGGAGGGGGGATTGGCGCTTTCTGATTAGTCAATCGACCCCGGAGCGCCAAGTGTGGGAGGGACCTCAAAAGTTCTTCGACAACAGGATTGGATAGAAGGGCTGTCACTCTGGAAAGGCGGTAGAAAAAAGTTAGCGAAAACTTTTCCCGGTTGCCACCATGAGAAATGAAGTGGAGGAGTGAACTGTGCTTGAACCTATTATCAGCAACGGCAAGGACGAGGCTGTTCAGTCAAAGAGAAAAACAGTTTCACATGACGCATTGCTAAGATATTTAATTTGCTAATAAGTAAAATTTAAATTAAGTAAGATTATAATGATATCTGAAGAAAATAGAGATTTGGGTGGAAAAGGCATAAATCAGCTGTTATTAAGTCTAAAATTTAAATGACTCTAGAAAACCTAAAGACACTGAGCAAATTAATTGATCAGCATTAACCACTTCTAGCACATTGAATTGTTTTACAATATGGATTAGTGTGAATTAAAGGGATTTCACCCCAAAATTAAAATTGTCCTTCTGAGTAACACAGGAGATACTCTGAGAAGTATATCAGTGCTTATCCAGCGCAACATTCTACAAAAAAAAAAACCTTTGTGTTTTCACAGAAGAAATAAAGCTTAGAAAGTGTACAACACTTGATTTGGAACAACACAGGATGAGTAAATGATAGAATTTTTATTTTTGGGTGAGCTGTCACTTTAACATACACCATTTTGTCATTGAGATGAATGACAAAAGATAGCCTAATTTACCTAAATTCATCATATTGTTACTACCTATGTATTCAGGTCAAAATCTTTGAGTGATTTATCTACCATCTTTGTGGAATGCTAATATAATCAGCATTGTCACTCAAATGTATGTGCCTGGGAAAAGGTTTAATGGGTGGGCCTCCCCTTCTTCAGGCCCAGTAAGCCAGTAGCCTATACCGTAGAGGACCATAATGGGTCCCACTCATCACAGGGCCCAGGACAACGTTCCGGTTGTTCCCCCTGACACCAGTTCTGAATATAACATGACAGTAGTAGAGAGTAGCATCACTTTAGCCTACAAACTGCTGCTTAAAGGTAACCAAATTAGATTTCAGCCTGCAGATGGCAACCTTCATACACTAGAAAGTTTTTTGAGGCTCACATGGGTCCCGTTAAAATTTGTTTTTTTTGACAGGATATCTGTCTGTTGACTACTCTGCAATCATGAATCAAATTTGATATCGATTTTGAAGTTATTACACCTGAAACAATAACAGTAATAGCAGAGTAAATATTTGAACTAAATGAGTTCACAGAAGCTCTTTCTCTAGAATAGACAATATCATCATCAAACATGCAGAATGCTAAAATTTTGTCACTAGGGAAATGAAAACAATTCATTTTCCAAATGACTGCCATTTGTAACGGTGTCAGACTTTGTTGACTGCAGGTGAGTAAAAATGTAATTACCAAAGAATTACCAATGCATTACTGTAAACAAACATTTTTTGTTTATTGTCATTGTTCCTGATTTAAACACTTGGACCATAACAGGCATTGGCCATACCAATAAAGCACCGATAACTCATGACATTATTTGATATCCACAACACATACTGTCTTACACAAAATGAAATAATTCATTAAATTGAAATATCAGAAAGACGGCAAAACTACACTTACAAAGCTGTGGTCTCGGAATGAGAAACATGTTTTAGACCCCAGACTGTTTATCTCTAGAATAGACAATATCATCATCAAACATGCAGAATGCTAAAATTTTGTCACTAGGGAAATGAAAACAATTCATTTTCCAAATGACTGCCATTTGTAACGGTGTCAGACTTTGTTGACTGCAGGTGAGTAAAAATGTAATTACCAAAGAATTACCAATGCATTACTGTAAACAAACATTTTTTGTTTATTGTCATTGTTCCTGATTTAAACACTTGGACCATAACAGGCATTGGCCATACCAATAAAGCACCGATAACTCATGACATTATTTGATATCCACAACACATACTGTCTTACACAAAATGAAATAATTCATTAAACTGAAATATCAGAAAGACGGCAAAACTACACTTACAAAGCTGTGGTCTCGGAATAAGAAACATGTTTTAGACCCCAGACTGTTTATCTTGAACTAACACTAATGAATGATTCATCATTGTGAATGAACTGCGTGAACATTGAAACATGGATATTGGACTCGTTTAATTGAGGGCATACCAACTTACAGCAACCCATTTAACACCAAAACCCCTCAATTTCACACAATTCCTTTTTTTTTTTCAAATGATATAAAGATATATTTTGCATACTGTAAGAATGTTTTTTAATAATATGAGCTACGTGTAATATGAGGCATTGCAATGTTACTAAATTTTCAGAAATTAATATTGATTACGGTTATATCTAACAATGTTATCATTCATGTAGAAAAGAGATTTAAAAGGGGTTTTAAATAGGTATCTTGTAAAAAGTGATTTACTGTTCAAACAGATATCTGCTGTGGTTATGACTGGGATCTGGGGTAATCACAGCAACCTATTTTAATAAAAACATGATTACATGTATACTATCATAGCATAATTGCATCATATTTACAAACATATTGGCCTACTACGAGGTGTAAAGCAGAATGTATGATTGTGGACAAAGACGACACTCCATGTACCAGTGTTCACAGTGGTCTGAGATGATTTGGCAACAAAAAAAATAAAATAAACAAAACAAAAGGCTCAAAATATATATTAAAAGCATAATATTGTAATATCAATATAGCCATTTCTTCTGTTATAAAGTAATATCTTAGAAACACTAATGTATACGGGAGATAAATAGCTATTTCATATATATTGAGATGTTCATCTTATTTTTCTTAAAACAAAATAAGGATGAGGGCCACAAAAATGTTCTTTTAACCATGTTGAGTCTGTTGTGGTCCTCATTTTTCTGTTCTTCAACAAGCAAAATACTGGACTTCATAAGATTACATAATGAAAATATATGTATATATAAGATATATAAATGTCAAGACAGAAATATAGAAAAATATTAATAGAAAAAAAAAAGGGAATACATACTAGACAACAAAAGTTGATTATAAGTATACAGGGTATACTTATTCATTGTTGTGTTATGGTCGAGGGTCAGTTTTCCGTCAGAGTCTAAACTTCAGGGTGAGCGGTTGCCCTCACATGACTGTGCAGCACTTGCAAGGCTGCTTTTCTTTTGAATTACCTTCTTCTTTCGATTCCTCCTTCTTGGCCTCGTCCTGAGATTTGTCAGGACTGGAGGCGCTGCCGTTAGGTGGGGCCTGGTCCTCTTTGGCCCCTTCGTTTCCGCCTTTGCTCTCGCCGTCCTCAATGACCACAAATTCAGCTTTCACTGTCTCCTCTATGCCCAGTGCCTTCTTGGTCTCAGCCTCATCCTCATCCTCTACATTCTTGTAGCCCATGAACACCATGGTGACGGGATGATCTGCGCTGGCATTCTCAATGGCTACATCAGGGTTGGTGCACTGCAGTTTGGCCTCGATGCCTGTGATCTGTTTCTTGCTATTTTGATCTGCGTTAGGGCTGGGCTGCTGTATGCCATTCTCAACTGCTGGGGACAGAGAAAGAGACTCATTTAACTTGCACTACTGTTTATACCAACGTTGGCTCTTTCACATGACAACAGTGAAATTACACAGAGACCATAACTGCAAACAAACTGATAACAAGTCAATCCTTTTTGTTATATTTATATAGCTTGTGAAAACAGAGATGATGGAGAACTCAAATATTAAAATATACAGCATATTCTCACACTCACCCTTCACTGGGCCATCAGGTGACTAGTAGAGAAGACATATGACAGAAATTCATTATTATTATTATTGGCATTAAAACCTTCACTAAACTAAACAGACATGCACAATATACTTAAAAATCAGACTGAGCAAAGTTCATAGCTTACATTTTCTCCTTTATTCAAAGGCACGCCACTCTCAAGCTCATCAATCTCCTGTTCTAGTCTGTTAATGAAAAAAGGTAAGTGAACATGAGCAATGTTTGCTAGAATTTTGTCTGGGACTAAGGAAGGTATAAAATGACTGAATGACTGGTCTTAACCGGAGGATGGTCTGCTCCAGTAGTTTGGTCTTGGCTTCATCCTCTTGTAGTTGTTTCTGTGCCTCGTCCTCTCCACTGGATGGCGCTCCGTCCAACAGCCATCGCTCTCTCAATGCCTTTGACTGTCAAAACAGGTCATAGGGCTTAGAGATTTCTTTTTTTGAGGAGTTCACTTCAACAGCAGCTAACATCATAAACATCTTGCAAATACTATGCAGTAATATTGTCACATTTTATTAGAATTATTTTAAAATAATGTTTTTCTATTTAAATCTATTTTAAATTGTAATTTATTCATGTGATTGCAAAGATGAATTTTCAGCGGTCATTACTCCAGTCTTCAGTGTCACATGATCCTTCAGAAATCATTCTAATATGCTGCTCATTTTTGTAGAAACCGTGATACATTTTTTTTCTGAATTTTATTGATGAATAGAAAGTTCAAAAGAACAGCATTTATTTGAAATATAAATATTTTGTAACATTATAAATGTCTTTACTATAACTTTTGTTCAATGTAATGCATTCTTGCTGAGTAAAAGTATATAACTGTTATATCATGGTCCCTAATGGCATAATATTGACAAAATGAGCTCATGAAAAATTAGATAATGTCAGTCTGATTCATTGTGCTGACGTAAACAAATCTGCACCATTAAGGTTTATGTAGCACATGACCATTAGCTGTCCATTAGTTTTTCACTTTAGGGCATTCTCCATGGCAGCTAATGCACACTATGCACATTTCTGGAGCGTGAAAGATTTTGACAGGCGCCTGCTCAAACAGGGCTTACTGCCAGAACTTCTAGTCCATGTTGTTAAGAAACAGACAGCAGGGTTAGATTGGCAGGACCAGAATGAACCACTGCAGTCTGAAGAGAATTCTGACATCTGTGTCTGGCACAGGGATGGAAGACATTTCAGGTGCAAGCATAGGTGGCACTAGAGATGACACTGGACTGCAATTAGCAATGCAAGGCAGCTTGGCATACTGGATCACTTTAGAGTCATTTGGAATTTCAACCCATTGCATCCAGTCACCTGTCATATGAAGACCTCCCTACAAAGACCAAAAACAAAGAACGACCGCCTTTTTCACTGAATAGACCCTGAATAGTGCCGACGTCACAATTAGGTCACATCATTAGCTGGAGGCAAAACAAAGGAATAACTAACTGGAGGCGGCCAATACAAACCAGAGTCGGCTACATAAGGAGCTTAAAATGTTATCTTTGAGTGTCAGAATCGATGGAGTAGACGCTCCAATTTGAAATTTTATCACATACCCGCTGCCATTGCCAGACAAAAAAACAACGACAGCTTAGGGCTGGACAATAATTCAATATCAATATGTATCGCGATATAATTTTTTTCAATAACGGTGATATGATTTTTAAACACATTTCCGATATTTCGATATACATTACCAGTGTTTCCCATACATTGATTTATTTGTGCCGTTTGACTTCGTTGAATAAACATGAGCACTGCACGTTTCAAAATCATAACACAG